GTTTTTTTGTTTTTGGTTACAAACGAACGAAATTCATATCTCGAAATTCATAAACCGATTTACATAACATCCGTAATAATATTTAAGTTTTTTTTTCTGTTTCTTTTTATGCACACCAGATAAAAGTGGTTTTTTTCAAACCATCAAAAAGGTGTTTGTAAATGTCTTATGTTGATCGACCGAAAGCAATTGAACAACACCAGCAACAACAAAAACTGACCGATCAGCTAAGGTAAAATCATCATCATCATCATCGATTCTGAACTAAAAGTGAATACGACAACCATCATCATCATCCTGATCATCTTGTTCAAGCAATCTTAACCAACCCCGAATACAGGTAGTAAGAAGAACAACAGAACAGCAAAAAAGTTGAGAGAACCGAATCACCATAAATACAATGTGTGTGTGTGTGATGCACCCTTCAAAAACCAGACATACACACAAACACTTGTTGAATCAATGAGATAAAACAGGCAGGATATATATGTGAACAGAAGACTTTAAAAAAATTATCATCCACAACTGATAACAAGAAGTGAAAAGAAATGAACAAAATGAATTGAATTGAACAGAATCAAACTGGGTAGTCAATCCGTTATACCCATTTTGTTTTGTTGCTTTTTATTTTCGTGGAAAAGAAAATCATCATTCTTTATCATGATCTGATTGGTGAACAAAAAAAACCCTTTGAAGCTTATTTTGTGTGTGTTCAATGATTGACAATTTTTTTTGAAAATCATCAATTCGTTTCGCTTTCAACAAAGTTCTTGTTTGTACCGAGAGTTTTTGTTGTTGTGCAATCTATTTCTGGTGTCAATTTTCAATTTTCACTTTTGTTTGCCATCACAGCCATAGAAAAACAACGGTAAATGTAAAAGTGAATGTTTGAAATTTGTTGAAGAAATAAAAAAACATCAAGAATAATCAAGTGTTTCTGTATGGTGTGTTTGTGTCTTTCAACATTTCAATCTTTTAAAAAAAACATCATCAACAAAACAGGTAAATAAGTTTATTTATTATGATAATGATTATGATTATTGATTTGACATTGAATTCTATCTATCTATCTATGGATTTATAATCTAAATATTATGTATATGACGACAATATGATAATGAATTAGGATGATGATGGCAGTCTTTCAAAATCATTATTCATTTTTGGTCGTCTTGTTTTGAAATCAATCATTTTCAAAAATGGTTGAATTTTTAATTTAATTTCCAGAAAATGTTTTTCCAAATTAATCATAATAATCAGCCACTTTTTATTACGATTATTGATTCATCAGAATTCGTTTTTTTTTGCTTGCTGAATTTCAATTTTGTTGAATTTCAAAAAAAAAAAAAAAAAAAAAAAAAAAAAAAAAAAAAAAAAAAA